TGACTATCTCTGTTTTGGCCGTAGCTAACTCCAAGCCGTGTTGTCGCATCCATGTGTTTACTATCCTTATTGTTTGTTGTAGCCTAATTTCTGCCTCCTCTGTTGTGCGTGTCATGATAACCGCTGCGATGTCGTCCGCATAGCCAACCAGTTGAGTACTGCTTGGCATTTCCGACTGCAGTAGACTGTCATACATAATGTTCCACAAGTCCGGCCCCAATACAGAACCCTGCGCAACACCCGACGTTATCTGCCTACATTTTGTACCACCATCGATTGAGTATTGGAGACTACGGTCACTAAGGTAATCGTACAGTATGCGCCGCAAATACGCCGGAACTCGAAATCTTCCACGCAACTGTTGCAAAATGTCCTCCCATTTCGCCAAGTAAAAGCATTCTTTACACCTACCGTCACCAATACTGCTTCTATGGCTGCGTGCAGCCTCTTCTTCAATAATTTTTCCGGCCGTGTCTAGCATGCACAAGGGCCTGTAGGACGCCGCGGATTACTCCTTCCCTTATCTAACAACACCAAGTGCGCGTGCTTCCATCGCTTACAGAATACTCCTTCTTCCAGGCGGGTATTTTATACCCCCAGTAGTATCTGCGGGCACGTATTTACAACTTCCTTGATGACCTCTCCTTTTATTTCATCTAGTCCCGGCGCCTTCCCGGTTTTGATTATGCTGGCCTCCATTTCTATTATTGCCAATTATATTATATTAGTTATATTATGTGATATTTTTTTAAGTTATATATACATACATATGGGATCATGTGATGTGATTTTGTTTTATTTAGTTTGATTTTTGTTTTTATGTTTTTTATTATTTATGTCGTTATATTCTTTGTTTGATTTAATTAATTTTATTTTTCTTTTATATCTTATGTATATATTGGTTTATTTTTTTTTTAATTTTATAAATGTATTTTCTTTTACTTTTTCTAAACTTTTCCTGAAATTTTATTAATAAGCTTTAATTTTAGGTAAATGAGTAGATTAGGCCTACTGGGGATACCACTATAAAAAAACGCGCCTTATCCTCTACCTCTGCAAGATGGTGTGGAAAGGGCGATAATTATATTTTTATTTACAATTATATATTTATTTTATTGTATTTATTTATGTCAAATGTTCAAAAATTGAGGAAAATTGCTTGTTTTTTTTGGCTGTAGCATTTAAACAAAATTTTTAAAAAATGAACAGTCTGGAAGGTTTTTTAGCACTTTTCCAAAAAAATTTTGAAAAAACGTGCTTATTAGTTTCACTCTGTCCGTCCGTCCGTCCGTCCGTCTGTCCGTGTGTCTGTTTACAAAACTTCTACACCCTTGAAGATAGAAAGCTTTTACATATATATAGATCTTTACTAGAAACTTATTTTCGTAGAACAAAATTTTTATCTATCTTCCCCCCTTTAGAAGTTATACCCCCTCGAAACCCTAAAAATGCCGTTCTTTAACTATTTAGTGCAATGAAACCATAAGGATTTTTCAAATTTTGCAAACGCAGAAAGGCAGTGGCTTGCTTCCCCTAGCGAGGTATACTAAAGGTTAACTTTAGAAAAACAAAATGGCCGCTCAAATTTACCGTTATCTAAAGTCCGTTTTTTTCAAATTTTTGATGTCGTTTATTTTCTAGACCCCAACCTGTAGAAGCTTGAAATTTTATGGGCTTTTAGACATTAACAAATAGTTCATTTCGTTGGAAGAAAATTTTTTTCCATCTCCTTCCCCTCTCAAGTTATTGCCTCTTGAAATTTATAAAATTTGAATTTTTGACACCTTATATTTCCGAAACCGCAAGCTTTTTCAAATTTCTATAAACACAAAAAGCTAACGGTAAATTCAATGACATTAAAAAATATAATTATTTTTCTTAACTCACATAATTAAAACTTAAAATCGAGCATTATGTTAACCCCTCTTTATATTAATTTTTGCTTTATTTCTAAAGACTGCATGTATGTATCATCCTAAATATATGCAATCCTAGAACGAGTTTTGTATATGAATGAAAATAATTTTTAGAATGTGTGATAGGTATACCTAGACTGTATTTAAAAGCAGAATTTTCACTTGCTGAAGGGAAAAGTGCTACAATACAAACCATTGGTTTGACCCAACTTTATTTATTTAAATAAATTTGTTAGTGTTTTTATAACACAGAATTTTAAGAATGTAAGCACTAGCAAAGTAGGAAAAGATTTAATTTTAACTTTTTCTGTATAAAAATTTTAAAAAAGTTGATCTTGTGGGAAATTTATGATGTTAAAAAGGGCCCTTTATAGACCCCATAAGAATACGGGTAAATTCATAAACTGTTAACTGTCACTTTCTCTTAGGGTCCAGACCTGTATTCAATTTCCAGGCCCGGAAGATAACCCCGATTGACAGAAATTTTTCGACTGACAGAAAAAAATTTGATGAAAATTTTTTTCAAAAACAAAGCCTTCCGACATAAGCAAGTACAACATACATATATTCGACAGCAGTAAGATTTTAAAAGTTTTTAAAACACTAAATTTACTCTTTAAAACTTGAAAAAACTTTAAAGGTCGCGAAAATGAAAACGTCATCATTGGTCATCATGTCATTACTCAGTAATGTTCCTTATGTATATGATTTTTAAAAAAATGTATAATTTGTATAAAGGAAAAAGATTTCCACGGTGCTTTTATGTTTTAAGTCATTTGCATCTAAAAATAATTTTATACAAATATATTTTGAAGTTTTATTTGGCTGTTTGCAAAAAAAATTCAAAAAAAAAAATGATGAAATTCTCATTTCCTCAATGTTTAAAGTTTTTTCAAATTTTGTAAAGCAAAATTTAGTATTTTAAAAACTTTTCAAATTTTTTCATTTACAATAACTTTTTTTTTAAAAATTCCAAATAAAATAAACAAAATGGGTTCATAAATGGTTTTTTCTAAATTTCACACTTTTATGATCCAAAATAAGAATTTTCGGTTTTGGTATAGCCAATATATTTATTTGTGTTTGATAAATACTTTGAATTTTGACGTTTATCACATACATACATATTTATAAAGTTTTTAAAAGTTTTTTCAAGTTTTCTGTGTGGTTTATTTTTTTCTCAGTGAGATTTTTTTTTTTGAGAAACCTTGTCATTGTTTCTCTTTTTTAAAGTTTTTGCAAGTTTTATCCCAGACAAACCTAATAATTTGTTGATATTGGTTACATTTTTGCATATATACATACATATGTATGTACATATAACTAATATTATTTAACCAATAAATGTGCGAAGGTAAAATTTTTAGTTACTGAAGGCCAGCTATAATTAAAAAAAAATTGTCAGATGCTTCAGTTTAGAATTCAAAATTAAATGCCATTAAGTGGTCATTTCTCTAAAAATATACGAAAATAATAAAAAATATTAAGCAAATGAAAAGAACCTACTTCTTCAATAGTTTTTTTCAAACTAAAAAAATAATTTCAAAGAAAAATAAATTGAGGAAAAACATACGAATTATATCGAATTTGACCCGATCAAAGCAATTTGGAAAATTATTTTATTGCGGTGGCCTTATACTTACCAGAGTAGTCCGCTACGTATTAAAAACATTTATATACTCTTTTATATGCAGTTTGAACTCGACTTCAACCGGATTTACGGCTCATATATCAATCGATTAATAATAAATCGATCAATCGATGTCAATACTAAATCGATTTTACAATCATTCAAAAATCGATTTCGGAATCACGAAGACCATCATTCTGGAATCAATCGTTCATCGATTCCTGAATCGGTGCATGGAAACTAGCAATTATAGGGGTGATCAAAAATATTTAGTAAAGAATTACGAAATAGCGTTCCCAGAGTAAGATACAATTTTTAATAAGTAGTATTATGAATTTTAGATAAAAAGAAAAATCCAAAATCAAAACAGAGCACATATGTAAATTCTTTATTCAATAATTCAATTTAAAAAGATTTTAATGAATTGGGAGGAAAGCAGGACTAATTTAAGAGCGGAGGAAACCCCCTGATGGGAGTAGTTTCAACAGCATTGTTAATTTTTAGCTCATTGTTTTAAATCTTAAAATAATGAGTAAAGGTTTAATATATAAGAGTGAAATTAAATATTTTCAACTAAATTGGCCTATAAATAATCTACATTTTTGATTTTTTCCAATAAAAATACTTATGTTTTAATAGTTTCGACAACGAAATAATACTTGTATAAGAAATATAAAATTATACGAAAGTAAAAATCCCTACCATAAAAATGCATAATTGAATACATCAAAAGTGTTGTAAAACGAAGATTTCAGTTTTTTACATACGTCGTACCTACCATTTTCCCGAATATGGCAATTGTTTTCCGAAAATTGAATTACATATATGTTAGGGAAATAAAGCTCTCAAATTAATATTTTTTTTGCATATGATCTGAGCATGCAGTGGAAATTCAAAATTTAATCAGGGTTCTATTGCACCAACCATTTTTACTTTAAGAAAATACTTTTTTATTAGTATAGTTCATTAGTAATTTGATTCTTGGTGCACCAGAAACTGAAAATTGTATGACAACTAATGAATAAAATGTAAAAAGTGCTTGGTGCAAAACACCTGTAAAAATAATTTCTTTAAATTGAAACAATTTCTGTGAAGCAAACAATTGAAAAAGTTAAATATAGCAAAATATGGAAATCAAGTCATTAAAAAAACAGCAATTTCTAATTATATATTTCTCTGCGAGGTTTAGGGATAAAATAAAAAGAAAAAAGTCGAAACACATTTGATTATTGACAAATTAAAAATACAATACATAACAAATTTTTTGCTGCCTTCTGAGGTATCTTTTATTATTTTAAACTTGTCGAGTTCCTTCTTCTCTTATATTTTTATTATTATAATTACATACATTCTTTTAATTACTAGGTTTTCTATGGCTTTCGCAAAAATATTGAGTTTTCTTGTACATACAGAGAATTTTCAGATATACTTATTTTAGCAATTTTTTTTTTCTGTAATGGTAACACTGGGGAATTCTATAAACCTTTTATAAAACTTAATAGAGATTCTTTAATTCTTCTTGATCCAGGGATATTTAGCGAGTCGAAGGCATATTGATAATGGCAATTAGATGGCGCAAGTTTACCAAACTTTTACAAGCAAATAGGTTTTTGCATGTCAAAAGGCTATTAATTTTTAATATTATAAAATACTTTACATTTTTAGGAACATACAATGTGGTCAAAAATTTTCCACGTTGAAAGAAAACATATTGAGTGGGAAAGCGAGCTCCGGTGGCTGTACAATTAATATTCCTTCCAAGGAAGTGGTAACGAAATTACCACCTTTATCAAAACCTTTGATTGAAATGCCTGACGTTGTATATGCAGCTGTAAGGCAAGAAGAAAATGAAACGCAGGTAACTGAATTATCAAATGGGTTAATGGTAGCATCTGAAAAAAGGTTCGGGCAGTTTTGCACAGTAGGAGGTAAAAACAAATTCATGCAAATGCTGGCTTTATCTTTTTTTGTTTCAGTTGTTGTTGATTCTGGTTCAAGGTACGAGGTAGCTTATCCAAGTGGAATATCTCATTTTCTTGAAAAATTAGCTTTCAATGTAAGCTTAAAAAAACAGATGAGTTACAAATTTTAAATGTTTGCTTTCAGTCTACCCAAAATTTTCGAAATAAGGATGCAATTTTAAAAGAGTTGGAAAAATACGGCGGAATATGTGATTGCCAAAGTTCGCGCGATACTTTTATCTATGCATCAAGTATTGATAGCAAAGGACTAAATACAGTTATTCGATTGCTAGGAGATGTTATTTTACGCCCTTTGGTAGATACACAAGAAATTGTTTTCGCGAAGCAAGCAGTAAATTTTGATTTACAAACTTTAGAAATAAGGCCAGAGCAAGATTTAATATTGATGGACATGATCCACGCAGCAGCATATAAAGAAAACACTTTAGGTTTTCCAAAACTATGCCCAAAAGAAAATTTGGATGCAATTGACAGGAATATAGTATTAAATTATTTATCGAATTACCACACCCCCGATAGAATGGTGGTAGCTGGAGTAGGGGTAAATGTCTAAAAAAAATTTTTATTGATTATGTACAATTTCTAACTAAAATATTAATTAAGGTCGATCATAAAATTTTATGCGAGCAAGTTGAAAAGTATTTTGTTGAAACGAAGCCAATTTGGGGAAAAAATGGTGTCGCAAATGTGAAGCAAGCTGATAAATCAATTGCGCAGTATACTGGAGGGCTTCAAATACAGCGGTGCGATATTCCAAATTTTGCAGTTGCGGAGCTTCCAGAATTAGCGCATATAGTTATTGGTCTTGAAAGCTGTTCACACCAAGATCCCGATTTCGTAGCTAGTTGCGTACTTAATATTATGATGGGCGGTGGAGGTTCCTTCTCCGCTGGAGGTCCAGGAAAAGGAATGTACACAAGATTATATACAAATGTTTTAAATAAATATCATTGGATGTATAGTGCTACTGCTTTGAATCATGCCTATGCAGATACAGGACTATTTTGCATACATGCAAGTTCGCCGCCAAATAACGTGCAAGAGATGACGGAAGTTATTACTAAAGAGTTAACAAAAATGGCGACGCAACCAGATCAGCAAGAATTGAGACGAGCTAAAACTCAGTTGCAATCTATGCTGCTTATGAATTTAGAGGCACGTCCAGTTGTTTTTGAGGATATAGGGCGACAAGTGCTAGCTACCGGAAAAAGACGTGCACCTGAAAATTTCATAAAAGATATCGGTAAGGAATTTTTTTTTTGTTGTGATGAATCATTAATTTCAAATTAATTTTAGAAAATGTTCAAGCGGAAAATATTGTTAAAATAGCACAAAGGATGCTGGAATCGCCTCCTTCTATCGCCGCAAGAGGTAATGTTAAAAATATCCCTGATGTTAAGGAGGTTCAATTAGCTTTATCAAGCGATGGTAGACTCCCTGGCTCTAAAAGAATTTTTTTTAAATAAAAAAATTATTTGTATAAAATTATATTTAAATTGTATTTTTTGAGGAAACAAAGCTGGTTTATTAAAAGCAATGTCATAAAAAAGAATTAAAAGAAATTACAGTTGCCATACTTTTGAAAATATTCATAAAGCTAAAATATCAAACGAAAATATTTTTCTTTTAAGTTGCGGGATAAATACAAATTAGGGTTTTGACATCACCCTTATTGTAAATCTCATTCGCAGCACTGAAATGTGGAGAAAAATTCTAATAAAATTTTCAAACGTAGAACGCCAGTATTCTAGAGTGGTCTGTTAATTTTAAGTTTTGATTTGTTCAAACATTTGGTTATTATCCAAATAAAAATGATTATAAGCATCTCTAAAACGTTTTCCTTCCAATCGCAGATTCCTTTCTCGGTTTTCTTTTCTAAAACAACTACAGCAAAGGGAAACGAGTTCAATTTAATTAAACTATTTGTCTATTGTTTTTTGAAATATCTTATTTTTTTAAACAAATTTGAAAAACTTAGATATTGACACCTGACAGCTGTATTAAAATATCGGTTTTGACACTTCGAAATTAATGCTGCTATTGCAGATTCATACGAGTGAGATTTAGAATTACTCAAAAGTCTACGTGCGTAAATTATTTTGAAATTCGTAGAATTCTACGGGTGAGATTTCACAATAAGGGTGTATTATATGTATGGAGCGCATTACAATTTAAATAAAAAATCATGCTTTTTCATGTAAAATGTGCTCTATGGGCAAAAAAATGGTTTATTGAGCAAATAAGCACAAAAAAATCTGTAAAATGTGGTTTATGAAGCAAAAACGTGACCGAATATTTTACAAACTAGATAGGAAAAACGGGTTGCGTCACGTGAGAAAGCTCCCGTCAAAACCAATAAAACCACTTTTAAGTCAAAATTTTTAAAAATGGCGTATAATCCAAATTAGACCTCAGCAGACGATTTATCATATGTTAATTTTACTATACATATGTATCTCTTTTATAACAAATTGAAATTTCATTGTTTATTTTACAATTTTGATTTATTTTATAATATTCTTTTCTAAGTACATATGTACACATATATTTAGAAAAGGTTCTGTTGTTACATTATTTTGTCTAGCTGGTTTTAGTAAAATTTGGTCATATTTTACATGATCAGTTAATAGTATTTTTATTAAATAAAATACTTAAGTCGAATTAGTTATTACTTTAACTTATGAGAAGTTTCTAGCTTCTTCAATTGAGTAAAAATTTTCTTTTCGTAACATATCTATTGCAATTTTAATTCCTTTATTACTTAAAACTAGTTAATTTATTACATTTTAGCCTAATGCATGGCATAGTTCCCATTGTTTAATTCTTCTTTAATTAATTGCATTTTGTATTTTATTTCAAATAAATTTTTGTTCAACTGTTTGTTTGTATGAATTATTGTTTTCGGTTGTGTTTTTACGGTTGAATTGAAAATTTTCAGCTACATTTTTTTTTTACTTTTAGTAAAAAGTTTAGCACCTATTTTTCTATTTATTCTAACCCAGCATTTACACGTACAAGTTACTTGCAAGAAAGTTTGTATAATATTAATTGTCAATTAGTTTTTTGAAATGTCAAATTACTTGCTATTATGACGTAGGCGTTTAGCAAGTTAATTTTTGAAAATGTCTTTGAGAAGAAAACAACTAGCAATATATGTATATAATTGTTTATAAATTTTAGAAACCATAAGTTTGCTAAGTTTAATTTTTTCAAAACAAAATTCAAAAATTTTAAATTAAAAAAAAAAAAAATCAAAACAACAAATTTTTTTTTGTGAATTTCTCAATATGTCAAATTACTTGCTCAAATTACTGGCAGCAAAATTTTCTTGCAAGTTGAACTGCAAGTAAACAAGCAAGTAGAAATATTTCAATGTGTTAGTAAAATTTTTGTATGTATTGCAACTTTCTTGCAAGTAACTTGTACGTGTAAATGCTGGGTAACATAAATTCCACCTTCCATATTATAATTTTTTTGCTTGTTTTTTCTTATTATGATATTGAACATCAAATATTTTTTTATTTTTAATTCTCGGAAAATTTTCTAATCTAGCTTGTTCAAATTTTTCTGGGTCTGTAACGTTTCTTACAAAAATATATCTACAGATTTTTTATTTGTTGAGCAAATTGAACAATTATATTCGTAAATTGCACTATGCAGTAAGTCTCCAGATTCTAGATTTCTAAGGGAACCGAGTGAGGCAGGAATATGCCCCCGGTCACTGCAGCCATTTGCGACTTATTATAGCCTCTCCGCGCCCCAACTTATAATATCTTCATTCGAAGTATGAAATCGGAGACATCCATAAGGGAGTAGGGTAGCATTTCCCGAACGCTTACGAAAACCCTGTCCAAAACAATTACGTCGCCGGACACCCAGTAACGAGCAGTTGCAAAGGATGTGCACGGAAGTTTCATCACAGTCTCCGCAAAATCTTCACTGGGCAGAGCCCGATTCTCCCAATCTATCCGCGGTGAGCTTCCCCGAGCACGTTGGAAGAAACATCTCCGCCTGATGACACCCTCTCGTGTCCGGCCGGTGAAGACCGCATTCCATTGGGAATAGGTAGGCGACTCTAGACCCAACGGTGGAAGAAGACAGACCACAGAAAGGCAACGAGTGCACAAAGTCAGCCCCAGATCTCCTTCGCGCCAACTCCGTTGCCCGCATGTCCAGACCAGCGTAATTTGGGTCGACTGAAGCGTATACAATGCCGACTCTCAGACAGATCTCAAATGCATGGATTTCGGCTTGAAACACTATAAAATACGTGTCCGGGCTCACATTTATACGCGTGCCCGAGCGGACACCTTATATGCCCGAACCCTCACCTGACCCCGTTTTTGGGCTCGTCCGCGTACCACACGCTTGAACCTGACTCAAGTACCGGGCCACCCTGCTCCAACTATTGTTTATTCTAAGAATCAGATCGCTCTCAATAAAATCTTTATGAGGCCTTCTCGCCAGAGAGAAGTCGGTAAGTCATTAGCCCAGCTTCTTTCACTATATAAAGATGCAGTGGTGGCAACTAAATCCTCACCTCCAGTGCAGCAGTGGGAGCCATCCGAACCAGTCACTCTCAGGCGGGCCAGCAGTGGGAGCCATCCGAACCAGTCACTCTCAAGCTTTTCCAACTTGACCCGTACACCCACTTGCTGAGCATTTCTGCACCATACGTTCGACGCCTACGTGACAATGGACCTAGGAAGTGCCGTATATAGCCACAGTGCTGCCCTAGGACTGATACCTAATGGAGGTCTTATACGTCCATACGGCCGTTGTAGCCCTCCCGATGACTCTTTCTATGTGAGTATTTAAGGAGAAGCGATCATCTACCCCTAATTTACCTCCCTAAAGTAACCAATACATTCACCAAACAGAATGGGCTTGTCAATTTATCACTTCTTCTTCTTCTGGCCAATGCAATCATGGCACTTTTACTGGGATTTATATTTAACCCATTGCTTTCAATAAAAAGAAGGTAAGGCTGGTGGGACGAAAAGACCTTGGGTGGTTGCTTGGTCCCTTACCTGCCTTCGGAATATACGTCACGTTGATTACTCTCCATGCTTGGGGAACGTAGTCCCAAGCATGCCTGGTATGAAAAATTTCAACAACGCTCTAGATATGTATTGAAAACCCCTCTGCAAACACATAGGATATATCCCATCATCACCTGGAGATTTGAAGGGCTAAAAATAAACGCAGCCCACCTAATCCTACCCATTGTAAAGATTGTATGATTGTTGCCAGTCATATTTCCTGAACCAAGATGACCTTAATTCAATGACTGCATTCGAGTGATTTCAAAGACCCTCTGAGTCAGGAAAGTGCGCTGAGGCCGTTGGCTTTCCGTTCTCGGCCATGAAGCCGTCAGGCCGTTCCATCAGGCCCAGCCAGCTAGCATACTTTTTGGAAAATACCCTGTGGAAACCCGTACTGCTGGGCAGTTCATCTATGCTCTCGCAGAACGCCCTCGATATCTACCATTATTCTGATAGAAGCGAATGGAACCAACCTCCTCTATGAGGAGCGTTTCGAATTGACTCCAATTTGTGAACTGAGGTCCCCGGAGACCAGGATATCAAACCTAAGCTGTTTATTGTCGGACATAGATATCTCATTTGAGACACCATTGATCCTGTTACTGATAAACTTAGTGCAAAGGGTGATGTCAAGAACCTCTTTTCTAATTCCCTCATTCATAATCGGGTCGAGAATCTCTTTCCTATGACCCTTATTCATAATCGCGCATTGGCAACACTTCCTATTATCAACTGGAAATTTCTCCTTCAATAAAAGTCCACTAACTCCTTCAACTGTTCGTCTGGATGGATACAATCATCCGGGAGATAGGATGAACAAACTCTGCCCAATCCCGGGGGACCTCATCTTCACCAACGCAGCTACCTGATGCTTGGAGCCATATTTTGTAATAGGAAGATATGTTAGTCTTTCACTAAACAAGATGCAGGCCCTAGGACTATCCCCAATTTATTAACATACAATAGATCACCTGTTAGGCTCTTAATCTGATCCTTCACTATGTATTATCTTTTAAACTTATATTTAGGTTAGTACGAGTACTTACATAAGATTCTTATTACATTAATATTAAATACATTACACCTTCTTCCTCTGGATAAAAAATTATTATCTTATTTTGAATTAGGAGAGAAAATTTTTGGTTGGTAAATATTTACTTTGTTTTTCTTATTTTTATAATTTTTTATTTAGGTATAATTTGCTTTTTTATTTCTAGTCTAAGAATTTATTTATGTATTATTTTACTTATTTTTGTAATTATCATTTGTAATCTAAAAATTTATTTTTATTAATTAAAAATTATTAAAATTATATTACTAAACTATACTATCCTACGGCAGGCTAGTCACCTACCTAGTTAAACCCTATGACGCTATGAAACTAGTGCATGAAAAATCATGCACTGGCCCTATGCTCCTTCTAGGAGTGAAGAAAGGAAAAAAAAAAAAAAAAAAAAAAAAAAAAAAAAAGACTATATCTAATAAAAATGAGTGGTTACATACATACATACAGTATATAATGTATATTTTGTTATTTTTTAGGCAACAAATTTTATTGTGTTATTCTTATGTACTATATCTTCTTTGTTATTTTCTAAATTTTTTATTTTTTCGTTTGAACCAATTATTTCTGTAATTATAAATGGTTCAATGTATTGTGGTTGTAGTTTATGTCTTCGTTCTTTTTTTAATAAAATTTTGTTCTTAAATAAAAATTATGATTTCTTTCAACAGAATCTAATGTTTCATAATGGCAAGCAGTTGAAAATCTATGTTCTATGCTCAATAAGCTACTGATTTCCTTAATAATATGATTTTTATATTTAGTCCTCCTATCCGAAAGGATTGTTTTTATCGGTCCATATAAAAGTATACAATGTTCTACTATTCCTTTTGCTATTGTTTTTGCTTCTTTGCTTATAATAGGTACTGCTACTACAAACTTCCTATTAATTTCCTTTTTCAGATATAGGAAAATGTCCTATAGTATCAATTATAACATTGTGGAACGGTTTTTGTGGGGTTTCTGTAATTTGTAAAGGTTCTTTATTCTTGAATATTATTTTATTTTTCTGACCTATTTCGCAATTTTTAACAAATTGTACTACATCTTTATACATGCTTTTCCAATAGTAATTGCTTCTTAATTTTGCAGATAATCTTTTTTGTCCGGACCACCGAAGATTGGATCGTAATGGAATTTTTCCAATAATTTTTTAATTTCATTTTTATCTATTACTGCTTTAATTATTGCAGTTTTTAAGTTTCTTAATATTTTATTGCCGGTCTTTTTAAATTCATCAATTTTTATGAATGAAAACAAACTATCATTATCATCTATTTGAATGTGATCAATATTCAAATCTTTTGTGATGTTTTCATTTGTAGCTACTTCTATTACTTTAAGACATTTTTTGTGTTTAAATATTATATACATGCATATTTTATTATTCTCTTTTGTTCATTTTATTTTAGGCTTTTTCCAATCTTTATAATTTTCATATATTTTCATATTTTCAGGAATACAAATTTCCTCAGAGATTTGTATTTTATCCTTATTAGCAGTATTTTCCGTATTTTTAGTGACTGACCCGGTTTTTATTTGCATAAGTTTTTAGATTTTAAGCCAGTGATAATGCGTCTGCTATGCTACATTATCTTTTCCTTCGATATATTCTATGGTAAAATTGTATTCTTCTAGATCTAATCTCATTCTTGTAAGTTTTGATGAGGAATTTTTTAGTGAAAACAGATACGATAATGGTTTATGGTCACTTTTTATTGTAAAGTGTGTTCCATAAATGTATGGACGGTAATATTTTATTGCAAAGTGTATTGCAGCTGGTCCTTTTTCTATAGTTGATTATATATTACTTTCTTATATATTACTTTTACATATTGTTATATTACTTTCTCCTTTTGTGAAGGATTTTGACGCGGATGAAGTGGGTAACAATAAACCGTTGTACTCTTAAATTAATGCTGCGCCTACAGCATAATTTGATTAGTCTTTGATACGTGGTAATGGGAATTTATCAGATATTTGTTTTTATCAACTTGCCTATAACCTATATACAAAGACGCCATTTCTTTAAATTTCCTTTCTTGGGTACTAATATAAACGAGCTATTAAAATTTGATTGCCCCAAGCCAATTTATTTTTATAATTTATTGAGCAAACTCAATTAATTGGTTTTTTACTAAATTTTCTGTTTGTTTTTTGATTTCTCCTTTTGCGTAGAAGGTGTGATTTTATGTATACCGGATTATTATCAGTTATTCTTAACTTTTGTTTATAAAAATTATTAACAGTCATTTTGTCATTTTCTATTTGAAAAATATTACTATATTCTCCACATAATGGTTTTACTTTGGAATAATATTTTTCGAAATTATATTTTCAATCCTTTAATACGTTCCTGATTAAATTCGTTTTTATGGGTCTTTATTATAGTTGCATCAGATAGTGGTTGAGTTTTTAAAACTATGTTAAATTTTATTGTTTCCGGTTCTAGATTAATATTCATTACCCGTACTATGGTGTTCCTTGACAATACTATTGTATGAGAAATAAAAATTCCTTCAGATATTTTTTGATCTAAAATTACACATTCTTCGTTAGATGGTAATATGAATTTCCTGAATACTTCACATCGAGCTAATGTATCACTATTACGTCCACCATAAATTGGAATTGTAAAAATATGAAAATCGGTTTTAATAGTTAAACTCATTTTATCATAGTCAATATTAAAATTAAAATTTTTTAAAAAATCTTTCCTTAATATACCTTGAGCTGCTTATATTAAATATGTCTGGTATACTACATGAAATAGACATTTTAGATTATAATTATTAATATATAATCATAAAGTCTTGATATTTGATCATAAAGTCTCTAAAGATTTAATTGTATACCTTTTTATTTCTTTTATATTTATATTTTCCTCTTTATTTATTGATGTTTATTTATCGCTGAGATTTCAATTAGCGAAATATCTGCTTGAGTATCTACTAGTAAATTAATGTTATTTGTATTTAAATTTTACGATATATTTATATAGTCAGAAAAGTTAAGATCGCGATAGAAAATATTTTATATTAATTTACTTATGGGCTGAGGTTTTCCTCTAAATTTTGGTTCTCGGTGTTCTGCCCTTGCCACTGAGGGTGATTGGCGTTTCCCATATATCTAACTTTGCGTTTCTATTAAAATTTTGTCTATAATTGTTTCTATTTTGGAATCCGTTATTATTATTACGATTGAATGACCTGTTATTATTGTTATTTAATGATTTGATATTATTATTACCGAAAGATTTTTTGTTATTATTTTTTTTCTACCACGATTGTTGCTATTGTAGTTTTTATATATATAAGTGTTCTTATTATTTTAGTCCACTAAAATCCAGTACAAATCCAAAAGCGTCTGATCCAGAATGGAGGGCTGTCTGGTCTGTGACTGATCCCTGAGGGATGGCAAAGTCTAGGAGAAGTAAACTCCGAAATAAAACAAAAGTAATGCAATGAACAAAACAAAAGGATTTCATACCCCAATTGGCAATCCAATAAATTTGGAAAATCCACATTTGGTCTCACGGATTCTTGGGGAGATCACTTATTGTCTCTACCGACTCTTTTAAAAGAACCCCTCGGATCATGTGGACACGACCATGTGACAACATCTATGTCCAAAATATGTCCAAAGGTGACAAACAGAAAAAAAGATATAGAGATAAAAACAGATATAAAGAGAAATAGAGATAAAATCAGAAAACTGATAACTGCCACTTAAATATAAGAATAAGTGAGCTAGAAGCGCTTTGTAAATAATTGAAAATTTAAATCCAGTATCTCAGAGAGGAAAATAATAAGCTAAAAAAAAACAAACATTAGTAGATATTTACAAACAAATAGTAGATAATTTGCACTGTTGTTTAGGGTCCAATACAATTAATCAAAATATTAATAGAACATTAAAATATAGTAAGCCTTGGATGGATAATGAATGCATACGTTTAATAAAAATTAAAAACTATTGGTATAGTAAACATATGCAAAATTTAGATAACAATTACATTAAAGATAAGTACCACTTTTGGCTTAACAAATTTACATCACTAAAAAGACAAAAACAAAAAAGCTATGATGCATATAACTTTCTAAAATACTCAAATAATATCAAGAAGACATGGGAATATGTGAAGGAAATTGCTACTGACGGAAGTAAAATAACAAACGAGTTCTTTACAAATTTGGTTTCTGAAACAGAAAAAACAGTAAAAATTAATGATTTCAACGAATTATATTGCAATATTGGCAAAGACATGGCTGCTAAATTTGATACAATTTACATCCCACAAATAATATCTAAAAGCAGGTTTTGTTTAACAGAGATAAATGAGGTCACAACTATCAAATTAATTAATAGTTTATCAACAACAAACAGTGCAGGTATAGATAATATCTCTTCAAAAATTATAAAACAATGTCAAAAAGAATTAGCAGAACCAATAACGACATTAATAAATTCTTCAATAAGAGATAGTTGTGTACCTGAAGTGATGAAAATTAATAAAGTCATACCAATATACAAAAAAACCGGTGACAAAAACAATATAAACAACTTTAGACCGATTTCTATAGCTTCTGTTTTAAGTAAAGTAATTGAAACATATGTCAATAAGCAATTTACATTATTTACAACTATTTAAGAGATATTAATTTCCTGTCGAAGATACAATATGGTTTTACTAGAAATTCGAGCACCAATACTGCACTATTTGATGTAGTGAGTCATATACAAAACCTTGTATGCATAAATGAAAAAGTTGGATTGGTATTTTTCAACTTAACTAAAGCGTTTGACTCTGTTGATCGCAAAATAATGTTACGAAAATTGTTCGAATGTGGCGTAAGAGGCAGAGAATACCATTGGTTTGAGAGTTATTTGAATCAAAGAAAACAATATGCCGAATGCGAGAATATAAAAAGCGAAAGTATGTTAGTAGAGTATGGAGTAATTCAAGGAAGTTCGCTGGGGCCGATTTTGTTTGCGTATTACATTGACACCTTCTCTAAATTAAAATTAAGTGGACGAATTTTTATGTTTGCCGATGACATAGCCATTGTATATAATGAAAAGTCTCTTGAAATTATGGAAAATATCATTAATAATGACATGAAATCTATACATAAATGGATGTGTCAACATAAATTATCGGTAAATGTAAAAAAGACTAAATACATGCTATTCAACTCCAAGGAAACTGAAATTAATATAATATACAACGGAAATGTCATAAGTAAAGTAAAGAATTACAAATACTTAGGCGTAACCGTGGATCAAAATTTAAATTGGAATCAGCCTGTTTCCGAAACTTTGAGTAAAACTAGGAGAATCGCTGGGTTATTCAAAATACTAGGTAGACGTATACCTGAAAATATCAAAATTTCAGTATACTACAGTCTATTTCATAGTGTTCTGACATATGGAATAGGTATATGGGGCAATACATATTCGAAAAACATCAATTCTCTACAAAGAGTTCAAAATAAAGCTATTAAAAATCTTTTTTGCCTACCAACTAGAACTTCAACCAGTGAAATACAGAAAAAATACAACATTTTAAAACTAAATGACTACAAAGAAATTATTCAATTATGCCATATCTTCAATATTAAAAACAAGTACATAAAATCGAACACAATTCTAATAACCAATAATGAAATACACAACTATAATACAAGGAGTGCCAATGAATTCAGATACATCACAGGACCTGGTTTGAATGGTATCACACCAATTTCTGCTTCTTCCATAACATTATTTAATAATCTTCCCAACTACTTCAAAGATTCGTCCAAAACTAATTTTAAGAAAAGACTGAAGAAATATTACATGGATAAATACAACACCTAATATCCATAAAACTTACGCGAACATTATACGAGTATGTATATAATTAGTTGAATTTATATCTTATTACGTTGGAAATTTACAAATTCTAGTTACTGTTACTTATGTATGTAAATTTTGTTTTTATTTTCTTTTGGTTAATGCTTGTTTTGTTAAAATACCTGAAATTAATGATTAGCTTTTTCTTTTATTAATCTTTTAAATTATTATTCTTTTAAGAATTAATTTAGACATTATGTATTCTTTTTTTTAAAGTTATATACTCTACGCGAGCTAAAACAGCTCATTTGAGATTGAATTAATAAATAAAAAAAAAAAAAAAAAAATTGGAATCAATCCAATAAAAGATATAAATCCGGAAAAAGTTACGTCAAACAAATTGGAATACTGCACAGATAAGGAGGATCTGGCTCGGGAAACCGATTGGTTCTCAAGAGAAAAAGCAAAAAGAGAGACATATCGAACAGCAGATATAAGAGTCCTATGAACAAGGTGAGCAAAATAAAAAAAACCTCTGCAGATAGATCCAGAAAGATCAAACACTACAAGAAAGACCAAACCCCTTCCTGTTATATTATATGATAAAGTACATGTTCAAAGAAGCCAAAATAAACTTTAGGGTCAACATGATGAATTATAATCAACTTAAAATTAGCAACTTATAATTAACCAAAAAAATAAATTAATCTAAAGTAGAGTGGCATACCTACGAAAATAAAATGACAAGACTTTTACTCTGGGAGGTGACTATTGATTGGGGTTCTATACTGACCTCAACAATAGGAAGAGAGCTAAGAAAAGCTACTAAAGAGATTTGTTGTCACTATCAATCCACTGGTAGACCAACATATTCTACCACTTGGCCGATAGAAATAAAATTCCAGATCTGCTAGATTTCTTTATTGTCAAGAAAATCTCGCCAAATTTAATTAGTTTAGAAGATAACTATGATTTGGATTTGGATCATTCTGCAGTTAAATTAAATTTATCTTAGACAGTTACGAAGAAGCAAAATAAGCCCATGTGGATTAATAAATCCACTGACTGAACTAGTTTTAAGGAAGAGATAGAGAATAAAATAAACTTAAGAATTAAGGTACTGGGGATTCTGAGCTGGAGCATTTTAATAGAATCATACAAAGCGCTGCCTGGAATAATACAAAACAACATGAGTATAAATCCGTGCGTATGCCTTACCCGAGAGAAATACTGAATATGATAAGTGAAAAGAGAAGATCTAGACGCAGATGGCAAAACTCACGAGATCCGGCAGATAAAATTGCACTCAATCGATTCACTCAGAATCTAAAAAGAAAAATAAGAAAAATCAAAGAAGATTGATAATTACATTAAAAATTTGCCAGTCGGACAAGAAAGTAATTATTCGTTAGAAAGGGCTGCAAAAAATATGAAAAAACCAATTTTACATGTCACTTCTATTAGGGCAATAAATGGAAAATAAACATAAGGCTGAAATATTTCCAGACCATCTTGAACAAATTTTTAGTCCAAGTGACATACACCCAAAAATAAATATTGCATAGGGAAATGTGAGAGCAGAAAAGGTTATCGCTCCATTTGCACAAAGAGAAATAATGGAAGAAATAAAAAGTTTAAAGTCAAGGAAAGCACCGGGCTATGATATAATTACCTCTGACATACTGAAGCAATTACCAAAAAAGGGTATTGTAATGTTGACTTTTTTAATGAATTCTGCATTAAGGTTAAAATATGTGCTTGGAAGGTGACAGAAGGTATAATGATACCAAAACCTGGTAAACCTTTAAATGAGACCAAGTCTTATGGACCAATGTCTCCGCTACCAATTTTGTCAAAATTTTTTGAAAAGCTATTACTGATAAGAATGGAACCTATAATTGAGGAGAGGTGATTAATTCCAAACCACCAATTCGGTTTTAGAGCAGGACATTCAACTACTGATCAAATTCATAGAATTACAAATATTACTGAGAAAGCCCTAAAGGAAAAGCAAATTTGAACAACAATTTTTGCAGACGTAGCACAAGGTTTGGCACGAAGGATTAATATACAAGTTAGAAAAAATATTACCAAAGCAATATGTAGATATTTTTCTTCTTATTAAACTGACAGATTATTTAGAGTCAAACAGGAGAGGGACTATTCCACACTTAGAGAAATAAGAGCAGGTGTGCCTCAGGGAAGTATTTTGGGTCCAATACTATGTCTACTCTTTACAAGAGATGTGCCTCAAATAGGAAATACAATTGTGGCTACATATGATGACGATACAAGACAGTTGCAGCAGGCAAGCAATAGTTTTGATGCTTGGACCAAGAATTGGAAAGTTAAAGAGGACTTTGCCTTCTGATTTGGTATAAAATGTGCTTCACCAAATCGGGGAGCGTTGAATCTCTTTCAACTTTATATTAAAGAAAGTATAATGTTGGTCTAAGGGGACTAGTACAAGAATGTAAAGAGGAGGTTTTGGTGGTTAAATACATAAATGCTATGGGTTGTGAGAGAATGGCTTGTTAGTATATTTCATACTTTCCTCCTTCCTTCGATGAAAAAAAAAGTTATTTTTGTCCTGAGTAGTTCTGTACGCTTATACCTGCTTCTCTTTATTTTTCTCATTTACTTCTATAATGAATTTAGTTACTACTTCTTTAGAGTCGCTAAATTTTGTTAATGCTAAAACCGATTTACAAGGCCAATTCTAGCCGATGCTCTACACATATTCACCGTTTTTTCAATAGTTAATTCTTCTGCTTTTTTCTTGCTGATTCCTTCCATTACTAAAGATCGTTTTAAACTGTCCGCTAACTCGTCAGCGTGTTTAGAAAATTCAGATAAGGATACTCTATCTGTTCTTAAGGCTTGCATTTTCCCTTCTATGATTTTAGAGTTATCTGCCTTTATTTTACTTTTTAAAGTTTGAATTATATCGCTTACTTAGTTATAATTGTTCCCCAATTTTTCACTTGCTTTACCCTTGAGTTTTGACAATATATGTTAAATATTTTTAAAAGGTTTCTCAAGGGGTCGCTCGTAGTTATAGTACTTAATAGGTTGATTGAATCTATAAAAGATTGGATTGCTAAGGGATCGTTAAGAATAATTGAATTAGGGTTAATTTTACCGAAATAATTTTTTGAAAGTTTGATTTCAGTGTTAAAGATATTATATACATACTTTTATCAGTCTTTCCCTAGCATAAATGATATGGGAACTTAATGTAATTTTACCTTTTTCATTCACTCTTGGCCATAGAACATATGTAAATTTCTCCTATATATTCGTTATAAGAGTGTATTATTCTATCCTTGTTTGCTTCTAATGTGGAGAGGTTTGTTCATATATTTGTTTTTAAAACGGTTTTGGTAGCTTCTATGAATTCTTTTTTAATATTTTCAGTTTTGAGTTCATATGGTTCAAATTTCAAAATTATGGCTTTTTTTATACCGACATAGTTTACATAGTTTTTTTTTAGTTCATTTTCTTTTATATAAAGGTATAATATAATGTATGGATGTACTGTACAAATTTTAACTTTAAATTATAACATATCTGGGTTTTTTCATGGTGCTATTTCTACTATGCACCAAAAGTGTTATTGCTATTATATACATACATATATATAGCTACTTCTCAGGTGCCAAAAACTACGGTAATTCTAGAAGAGCTAGAGATATGAGACAAAAGGCATTAGATAGAGTTTTGACTCTAGGGTCCCAGAAAAGTCTAACATTGGAAGTTTTTAACCCCGAAATAGCCCTATTTCAAGATTTTCTGAAAATTTTTTTTTATAACAAAAGCAAATATTTTTTTTTATAACAAAAGCACCTTTTTCTTTTATACTTTATATTACTAGAAATTCGAACCAAGAAATAAATAATACTTTTTATTATTAGAAACACAAATCGAGAACAAGAAATAAATAATATTCGAAAATATAATGATCACAAATAATTTTAGTTCGAAAAATCGAAATAAACATAAATAAATGTCAGCTTTTATCAAAATCAGATGTTTTGTGGCATCTAAATATTAATGCTTCATTTGTTATTGTTTTGAATATTATGTTTTGTCAGCAAGCTTTAAAAAAATATACATACAGAATATATGTACGTATGTTGTTAGAATTTTATTTTTATTGTTCCAAGCAAAAAATTGTAAAATGCTAAATTTTCATAAATTTTTTATGTGCATATACATTATATTTGAATAGAATTATTATTTTATTTTTGCGTAAACCTTTTCTTTATTTGAAAAATTTATTTCTGTATGTTACCTCCATGATTTAATAATTATGTGTTCCTATATGCCAAATCACAGTTTTGAATATTATTCAATTCATATAGAAAGGTTAAAAATAAATAGTTAGGAAGCTTTAAAAAAAATATACATACATATTTATGTACTTAACTATTATAACAATATTTTAATTATAATAATATTTACCTGCTATATATTAAAAAAAATAAAACAAAAAGTTTAAACAAAATAAAAAAAAATTTTTGAAATAATCCAAAAAAAGGAAAATACGACAACATCCAGGCGAGCATTGATCCAATAACCTCCTGGCTATGAGACTACCACGCTATCCACTAGGCTACGCAGTACCTTGAATTTTCCTTTATAATTCTATATTTTATTCATATTTCGTGTAACTCATCAAAAACCATCATATTTTACATTATATATGTATATATAGCTACTTCTCAGGTGCCAAAAAATACGGGTAGTTCTGGAAGGGCTAGAAACATGGGACAAAAGGCATTGGATAGGGTTTTGCCTCCGGTAGGATAGGGTCGAAATATGATTCTCATCGAATACACTTCGTGGCAAATTAGTTATATGAATAACAAACTTAAAAGTATAGAAATAATAATTAATTGTTTTCAGAAATTGCAAAAATTTTTATAAAAACTTTGAAACTAAATATAAATAATTTATAAAATAAGTAGCTTAAAATAAAGACAAATATAATTCTTAGAAAAGAATAATTCAAAACAAAAATATTAAAAAACTACATATACATACATACTTATATTAGTTATTGATTTGATTATATATAAAAAAAAATTTATGCACAATGTGCAGAAAACAGTACAAGAAAAGGTGGAAAAAGAATGAGTGTTAAAACTAAATCACAATCAATAAATGAAACTGAGAATCTTAAAAAAGAAATTGCGAATTTGAAAAAAGCTGTAAATAAAATACAAAAGAAAAGTGAAAAAAATATTCCAAATAAAAACATCAATCAAAATCAATTTTAGTTGCTAAACGAAAATTAAGATATTATAGAGGAAATGGATGTTTTAGCAAATACACAAACCAATGACATGAATGAATTCAAGGAAATGGTTCGATCCAAAAATAAAAATAAAACAAGTAAAAACGTTTCAGTCGGTATAAACCGATTGAATTATACCCTGCACCTTTCGTTATTGTGAAGCAATTACTCGAACCTGTGAAGTCATTCTATAGAAACTTCACGGATAT